GCAGCTCCAGGCGCAGCAGGGACAGCTCCAGCACCCTCAGCGACAGCACCAGGGCCACCAACTACTCCAGCAGCAGGACCAACAGCAGCAGTCTCAGCACCAACACCCTCAGCAGCGCCAGCTCCAAGAGGACCAGCAGGCCCAGCAGCTCCGGGACCGGTAGCACCAGCACCCTCGTCAGTCGAAGAAGGTCCAGCTCCAGCTCCAGCAGCACCCCCAGACTCAGCAGCACGCCTCCAACGACGAGCGAACCACTCGCGCAGCTCCTGTGGAGAGAGAGGCTCCCGGGGAGGCTGAGCAGCAGGAGAAACCCCAGGCGCAGTAGCTCCAGACGCAGCACCCCCAGGCTCAGCAGCTCCAGACACAGCACCCCCAGGCGCAGCAGCTCCCAACTCAGCACCCCCAGGCTCAGCAGCTCCCGACTCAGCACCCCCAGACCCAGCACCTCCAGTGACAGCACCCCCCGGCGCAGCACTCCTAGGCTCCGCACCCTCCGCACTAGCACCCCCAGGCCCAGCACCCCCAGCAGTAGCACCCCCAGGCTCAGCACCCCCGCGCACAGCACCCCCAGAGTCAGCACCCCCAGGCTCAGCACCCGCAGCAGCACCAGAGTCACCAGTAACCTCGACCGGGTCAACGGCGTCTACCTGGGACACACCTGAGGGAGCAGGAACCTGAGGGGGAAGGGGGTCTACCGGGGGGGGAACCGGCTCAAGGAAGTCCGGGGGAGGGGGGAGGGAAGGAGTGCGGTAGGGGAAGAGACGGTAGAAGGGGACCGACTCGTCGAACGTGACGTCCTGGGAGGACAGAACACGACGAGAGGAGGGGTGGTAGAACTGCCACCCTGGGGCGTCAGTGGGGAAGCCAAGGAAGACACAGGGAGCAGCACGAGGGGACAGCTTGTCCGCAGACAAGTCGCGGACAAACGCCCGAGATCCCCAGACACGAAACACAGACGCATCGCCAACCTTCCCCGTCCACAGCAAGGCTGGGGACATCGCAGGCCTAGAGACCCGCGGGTGAAGGTTGAGCTGATGCGCCGCGTACCTCACCGCAAACGGCCACAGAAAATGGGGGGCAGCCGCATGCATCATGGACGTACGAGCGACATCCATGACCATGCCAATGCGGCGCTCAGCAATCCCATTTTGCTGTGGTGAGTCCGGAAGCGTGAAGGTCTGGCGGATCCCCCGTGCACGACAGTAGTCCCGCAGAAGGCGAGAGGAGAACTCTCCGCCTCTGTCCGAGTGCAGACGCAGAACAGGAAAGTCAGAGCCGAAGCTCTTCCTGAGCTGGAGACGAGCCTCGCAGATCCAGTCGATCAGCACCTCAGTGACAGCACCCTTGCTGCGCAAGGGGAGGACTGTGGTGTAACGCGAGTAGTCGTCAACCACCAACAGGAAGTAGCGCTCGTAACCCTGCCCACGGACAGGGGCCGGGCCCCACACATCCATGTGAAGCGTCTGCAGCGGAGCCTCTGTCGGGGGGAAGTGGGAAGAGTGAGGAGTAGCCCGGAGGCGACCCTCGACACAGGGGACACAGGAAGGCACTGGCCCGGGGGGGGGAGGAGGGAGAGACCGGGGAAGACCAGAGACAAGGACACGGGAAGCCATGCTCCGAAGACGAGCCAAGGAGGGGTGGCCTAGACGGTGGTGCCACAGGAGAGTCTCGTGAGACAGGAGGCGACAGGAACAGGGGGCAGACTCAGGACCCGACCGGGACGCAGCAGCAAACACCTGACCTGACGCAGCTACCTGACCAGACACAGGGACAGGAGGAGACGAAGTGGTCAGGGTGTAGAGACTCGACCGCGGCCGACGCGAAAAGGTGGCCAGGTGTCGGCCTGTGTCTGCGTCCGTGCAGTGGGTCACCCGCCGCCTCGCAGGAGTGAACTGGTGAACCCCCGCATCCTGTAGGTCCGCACCACTCACCAAGTTCGTAGAGAACGAGGGAAGGTACAGACCAGACAGGGTGCCCGAAGGGGCAGCCGGACACGGGAGGACAGTGGAGAAGTGAGACAGGACAGGACCCCCAGAGGGGTCAGCAAGGGAGACCGCAACCGGTCGGCCAAGTGGCGTGAGGGTAGTGCGGTCTTGAAAGAAGGAGCGAGAAGCCCCAGAGTCAAGTGTGAAAGTGAGGGAGGACGAGGGCGACGCAGTACCTGAGAGCGCAGTCTCACCAGCACGTGAGAGCGCAGTCTCACCAGTACCTGAGAGCGCAGACGCACTGGCACCTAGAGCAGCAGCCTCACAAGTACCTAGGGCAGCAGTACCAATGCCCGGGTCGGGCTGGAAACACCGGTAACCCTCATTCTCCTCACTATAAGTCACAGCATACATAGCAGAAAGGATAGCATCAAAATCAAGATCAAAGATCGCTACACCAGCCCTAAGGAGCTCATCCCAGCGAGGGATCTCACTAGCCCCGGGGAACTGCTGACGCCAAGCGTCCGTCAGGCGGCCAAAGCAGCGCTGGGTGGAGTGGGCACCCCCACACTGCTCACCCGCGCGGTCGCCGGAACGAAGAACGTAGGCGCAGGGGCCAGTACCCCCACCCCTCTGACGCGCAGTGTACCACTCACGAAGCTGCTGAGGCGGAGGGATGTCCCGCGAACGCTGCTGCTGCTGCCGCTGCGAGCGCTGGCCACCACCACCGCCGCTCCGCTGCTGGGTACCACCACGACCAGCTCCACCTCCTCCACCACCACCGCCTCCTCCGCCGCCGCCTCCACCGCCTCCACCTCCACCGCCTCCACCTCCACCGCCTCCACTCCCGCTGCTGCCTCCACCACCACCGGTGCCACCACCACTACCGTCTCCGCCGCTGCTGCCACCACCACCACCACCACTACCACTACTCCCGCCGCCACCCCCACTCCCTCCGCCGCCTCCGCCGCCACCGCCACCGCCCCCTCCAGCTCCGCCCGCGCCCTTGCCCCCCTTGCCCTTGCCAGAGCGACGTCTCCCACTAGGGGCAGACGCCGCGCCGACCGACTCAAGACCAAGCAGGTCGGCCGCAGCAGCAGAGGCAACAGAGGGCAGCAAGGGGGAAGGAGAGCACCCCTCAAAGATGGGGGTGCGAGGGTCACCACGAGAGGCACCGACAGCGACTATGCTCTTCTCCGCTGCGAGGAGGGCCTTCTCGAGGAGGTCGACGGTGAGAGTGGTGGGACAGACTGCGAGAAAGTGGTCCCTGACTACGCGGAGGGAGTCAGGGAGGCGTGCGACTACGTAGTAGAGAGTGATGTACATGGGGGGGGGGTTCTTAGCGCAGAACTCAGCAGGAAGGGCGGCGCGGTAGCGAGTGTCACTAGTGCGGAGGTGCGTAATGAGGTCAGCGACAGTGGGAAAGGCAGAGAGGTCAGGAAAGAGGTAGGGAAGCATGAGACGGCTCAGTGCAGCAGTGGCAGGAGAGGAGTAGCGTGCAACTACAGCGTCGTACAAGGTCTGAGCACTCTTGTACTGACTAAAATGCGCACGCTCAGAGGTAGGGAGGTGGCGACGCACAGCAAGACGTGCAGCAGCATCGCGGGTGGCCCACTGAGAGCGGACAGTGGGATCAGCATCGGCAGCAGGAGCAGGAGAGGCGCCAGAGGTGAGGTCAAAGAGAGAAAGGCTGTCAGCTCTGTCGCACTGCAAGAAAAGCTGCAGGTCATCTAGCCAGACCTCAAAATCAATGGCGCGACCCTCGGCGTCAAAGGCTAGGACACTAGGGGTGGCCATGATGACGACAGCGAAGCAGTGCAAGCAGTAGGGAAAGAGGGCGCAGTGACAGAGGGACTGTGCTCACCGGGCAGGGCAGGCCGTGCAGCTCGACAGAAAAGCAGAGCGGCGACCGGGCGGCTCGGGTGTACAGCTGCTCAGCTCCCGGGCGACTCGGCGGCAGGGCGGCTCGGGCGCAGGGCGGCTCGGCTCCCGGGCGGCTCGGCGACGGACGGCTCGGGTGCAGGGCGACTCGGTTCCCGGGCGGCTCGGCGACTGGGCGACTCGGTTCCCGGGCGGCTCGGCGACTGGGCGGCTCGGCTGCCCGGCCGCCCGACTGCTGCAGGTGAGGCGGCGGGGTCGCGGAAGAGAACCGGGGCGGGGCCGCGAAGGGGCCGGCGGTAGGGCCGCGTAGGAGCCGGGGCAGGGCCGCGTTGGAGCCGGCTGCAGGGCCGGCGGTAGGGCCGGCTTAGGAGCCGGGGCAGGGCCGCGTTGGAGCCGGCGGCAGGGCCGCGCAGGGGTCGGCGCAGGGCCGAGCAGAGGCCGGCGGCAGGGCCGCGTAGGGAGCCGGCGGACAGGGCCGTGAAGGAGCCGGGACGGGGCCGCGTGAGAGCCGGCGCGGGGCCGGGTAGGAGGCGGCGGCGGGGCCGCGTAAGGGGCCGGCGCGGGGCCGCGTAAGGGGCCGGCGGCGGGGCCGCGTAGGAGCCGGGGCGGGGCCGCAATGGAGCCGGTGGCGGGGCCGAGTAGGAGCCGGGGACGGGGCCGCGTAGGAGCCGGCGCGGGGCCTCTTAGGAGCCGGCGCGGGGCCGCGTAAGGGGCCGCGTAAGGGGCCGCGTAAGAGCCGGCGCGGGGCCGCGTAAGGGCCGCGTAAGGGGCCGGCGCGGGGCCGCGTAAGGAGCAGGCGGCGGGGCCGCGTAAGGGTCAGGGCGGGGCCGCGACAGAGTGGGCGGCGAGGCCGCAGGGGAGAGGGCGACTCGAGGGGTCGCTAAAAAAAACCGCGCCTCGGGGCGCGCTTCGGTGGGCCCAAAAAAAAAATCGGTCCTGGAGGGACCTAGCTCTGATACCATGTGAAACAATGAGAAGAGGAATGAGATGACTAAGTCACAAATTGGTACAAATAACAAACCCTAGGAATCTGTACCCCATATGTGCTACCCCACTATAGCCTACAAACATGTATCAGCTATAATGTTCTGACAGGAAGCTCCCGCTCGGCCTTCTTCCAGTTGACTCCTGCAAGCACACAGCACATCTAGTTAGCATCCCACTATGTAGACGGATCGTTACACAAACAAGGGATTAGGGACAACACGGAATTTGAAAACACGTACCTGGCAGAGCGCACTGCTCGGCGTTGAACATCTTGCGAAGGGAACTGAACCACTCCGCGCACAGACGATCGCGCTTGTCCACGCCATCCGGATATGTGTCTGGCAGAAATAGCTTGGACCCAACGAGGGACTTCAAGCTTCGCATGCGGTACTGTAGCCTGCTGATCACCTCCTTCGCAAACAGGGTGGCGAGGGACACGCAGGACTCGACGTCACCCGAGGGATCCTCTTTCTTCTTCGCATCCAGCTCGTGCAGCTTGAAGGTGTGTTTGACGTCGTTGCCGTCTCCATCCATCCCCTCCACCTGGACCACCCGCTTGGACGGATGGGAGTGCGCTTCGAGGAAGGCAGTGAGGTGTTCGCTGTCCTCCGCGAAGTTCACCCCGTACTCCACATAGTGCGCGTTCAACTTCTCGCAGGTGTTTTGCACCTGCCCCATGACACGGGTGATGTCCACCTGCGACATCACGCACAAACACAATGTTAATCACTGACATTCGGGACTAGAGCGAATTTCTAAATCGGCGACCGTTAATTACACACTCACCGATCGTCGCTGAAACCGCTTGTTGAGCTCGTTCAATTCCTTCAGGACATCAGCGAGAAAAAAAAAGAAAGAAATGAAATTTGAGGCTCGTAACCAGGTGATACGTCGTGCTGTCTTTCTCGTGGAGCAGCACTATGGCAGCCGGCAGAACAGCGACAAGTCTCGAAACAGCATCGCCCCGCGACAGCCATCGAACATCGAAAATCCCCTGCATCTCCAAGTTCGTGGCGTGAATCATGGTTTGCAGCTCGTGGAACCTCTGGTGGACGACGCATCTTCCGCCAATGAGGGTCGCGATGGCGCGGATCCCTTGGTCGACGATGTTGAAGGCGGGGATGTTCGTCGCGACATCCTTGGCTGCGAGAGCCTCTCTGTTAGATGATGGAAAAAAAAACCAAGTGAGTAGGGGGAGATGTATCTGACAACAATACTGCAAAATTTGAAGTGCAAAGTACCTCACCGGTGAGCAAGGCAATGACACGCGACAAGATGCGGAACTCGCATCTTCAGCTGAACCACCAGCCCATTCTGACTACCCAGCATGACGTTCGCACCATCCGTGCTGATGCCGGAGATCTTGTGCATGTCAACCCCGTTGCAGTCCAGATGCGCCAGCAAGACGGCGAGCAGAGATGAAGCGTCGCCCTTCTCCACGGTTAGGTGCCCGAAAAGCTCGGTCACCGCCTTCTCCTCCTTCATGAAGGTTAGGTAGACGATGAGATGCTTGCCCTTCCTCCGATCAGTCGACTTGTCGAGCTGAATCCCGAGAAAGGGCGACTCTTGGATGTATCGCATCTGACGGGCCTTCAGGTGCTGGACCATGGCTTCTGTCATCTCCCGAAACCCATATCTTCCATAATGAAAAGCACGACAATAAGTCAATGATGATGAGTGCCTAAACATCACATCACGTTGCATTACTCACTCTGTCTGGTAGGTGCCGATGGCCTTGTCGGGAATGTTGGGGGTCTTCAGAACGTGTAGCAGGTGCACAAGGCCAACAAAGAGCGCAATAGGTGCATCCGACTTGCATATGAAAAGCACCACTAATAGAAGTTGTTTCAAACGCTCAATCTCCCCCACCCCGTCCTCATACTCATCAATCCCTCGTTGAGCAACTTTACCTCCTTCGGCTCGGGCTTTACGATCGAGGGCGTCCTGATGCTTGCGACTCAGACCATGCTTGCGCATGGTCTGCTTCTGGATGTCCACGCCACCCTCGCCCGCCTTGCCGTACTGCCAGTGTGGCGGTCCGTATCTGATGCAGACACTGCACTTCATGCACGGGCGACCATCCTTCCTTTGTGATATCAGCAGCAAGAGGAAACGACGTTGCCAGATGTCGGTGCACTTCTTCTTCAGTTCTTCGAGAAGCGCGTCAGGATCCGGAACCAAAATAGACGGCCTGGACGGCCCTGGATCCGAAGGCACCCTGCTCGTGCCAGTCGCTGGAGTCAGCGGAGTAGCAGCAGCTGCGGGAGAGGGCGACCTTCCTTGCGTGAGGCGCACATGAGGTACGCGAGTTCGAGCAAACCGAATAGTCAATTAAGTGAACTTCCCGAACTTCGGGAACCGGGAGACGCCTGCGCTTCGGACAGCACTGACCGTGGGAGTTGCGACGCGCCCGGTCGCTCTAGTGGGCGACTCTTCCACAGGCGGATCGCTCAGCTGTTGCCGTTGATAAAAATCCGGCCAGGGCTCCGTGCTTGCCGTTGGTTCGTTGTTGGTAACTGGGGGCTGCACAGGCGGATCTCTTTCAGGCGTGGCGGTAGGCGGACCGCCTCTCAGAAAGTCGAGACCAGTAAGTGGACGATGCGACCTAACAGGGTCATCATCGTCCCTACAATCCATGGCTACAGGGCCCTAGGAGGATGTTGTCAAGACGGTAGAGAGAGCAGGGGAAAGAATTCCCCTGTGCTAGCGAGTGAAAGGAGCGTTGGAGAGGGAGGGGGAGCCAGCCGAGCATTATCAGCTGAACGAGGTGCATGCATGATCTTACAACGCACCGCGGTGCCCCACTCCATCCTTCGTCCAGCGGGACGTTGGGCAACAGTCGGTGCGAGTCGCGTGAGGCTCTGCAATCCACACAACTCATGCGCTTGCGTGAAAGTGGACTAGTAACAGAAAGACTTGTTCCACTTTCGTCTCAATGTGGCCCAAGTTGGCCAGACGTGCGCCAGATTGCCAGCACTTGACTTCTATCAGTGCGCTCCGCTGCGCTGTCACCGCAATCACGCGTACAGGTCTACTGATCGTGCTGTGATTGGCGCAGCTAACCCATATCACGCGTCAATCACGGCATACTGTATAAAAGTCGGTTATAGACGGAACTGATACAAGTGCCTGGAAAATCAGAGGAATAGCTACACGCACGTCTTTTTCATCAGAAAAAATGGGAATCTCATATCTTATTCATCAGATTTCCCAAACGTTCCACTTCTTAAAGATCAGATTACGTAAAAAAAAATCCGTCTTATTCCTCAGAAAAACAGACAAAAATGTATGATAGTGAGGGCCCTGCCCATGGACCACATGCTAGAGTTGCTTTGCGAGGGGCCTGGCCTTTTAGGGATTCAGACTGCCGCTGTTCCTGCTGTACTATGGAACTGTGCTATAGTAGCGGTGCTTCTAGAAAGCCACAGGATGTGGAACCGGGTAGATGTCAGCAGGGAGAGTGTTGCAAAGCAGGAGTGCCTTGGATAATGTGAGTGAGTAGATTCTACTGGGCAGTTTGTTGGATAAATGGCTCCGTGCTAGAATCCCGCCCCTGGATCCACTAAGTAGAGAAGAGGGTTCAATAGGCGAAGTGTTGCAAGGTACCATATTTATGTTCCTAGTAGAGTGTGAAAGGGTGTTTGAATTGGCTGGCAAAAGGGCACTATCTTGTATGTGAGCATGTAAGAGCTGTTCGGAGTTCCTTTGCCATGCTACACTCACGAACTTCCTGACACAGAATACGTGGCAGCATCTAAACAGTCGTCCAATAAGCCAGCACGTCGTCAGCATGGAGTTGTCGGTTAGCCGCCAGTCAGACGTCGTCATTCTTCACGTCAACCACTGAACGTCAGCAATTGAAGTCTTGCCAGCTCAGCAGCGTCGTAAGTCTGTTGTAACTGGTGAGGACGGCTCGCTGTATTACAGCTCTCCGGTTCAGGGTAAACTTCCATATGTTTCCTAATGTTTGTAGGCCTCTGCTGCAAGTTAGTGAACTCTGTAGATTTTTTAACGTTGATTGAAGTTCTGATCATTCGTAGCCCGTGTCAGACATCAGGTCAGACACGAAGTGGAGCCTCGGAAGATCCGAAGTGGCCCGTTTGTAAGGCAAAATCGAGTTCGGAAGAGGCAAAATTTTGACTAAGGACTAATGACTTGATATCTGACACTCGATACGAATGCGCCCTTAGCCTAGCCAAGCTATAACGTACCTCGCCATTTGGGAACGCATGATACCGCCAAGCATCCCTCCAAGTGGATGCAAGTTCTGCACTCAAACTATTTTTTTTTTCGAGGGTAAATGCAACGAGAAACCAGCAGCCTCAACTGCGATGCGTCACATCACATCCCCAATCCCAGAACTTCCCATTTGAGCAGTCACCAAAGCAGCCAGCACAAATTCTCCCCACCCCCGTTCCTCTCCCATATCACTCCCGCAGTTGCCGCTGCTGCTTTCTTTCTCACTGAGACGCATTCCAACAATTTGCCGCAACGTCGCGCAAACGCGTTCAGAGCAGTCGCAGCACCTATTTTTTCACCCATTTTTCGAAAACATCGCCTATCGTCCTCCGTTGCAGCTCTTCCCTACGTACCGTAAAACTTTCTAGCGACCATGGCCTCCAAGCGACTCCAGACCCTATCGGGTGAGATTCTCCGTCGTCTCGCCGCATCCCTTCCAGAATAAGCATAAGACTTTGTAATGCGTTCACAATTTTTGCATCCATGATTCACCCAGTGTTTTTTCAAAACCAACCTTCTTTCCTGAAATTCGTATCCATCCAGCCTGGTTCTCCGTACAACGCAGCGTCACGTCCCATCCACGTCCCATCCACATCCTTCCCCTTCTCCTTATCGCATCAATCGTTCGTAGCACGTACGTCGCCGATTCTGGAATCGACGCTTGGGGCGATACGCTCAACGCGACTAACTTGGAGTTCCTGACGTTCGCGGCGACCGCGCCGATTCGCGCATCTAGGAAGCTTGGCATCCTCCCTTTCCCCGGCTTTATCAAGTGTAAGCATAAGTATGGCGTTTTCCTCTCCAAATTAGTTTGCTAACTCATTTTTGAGTCGACTCAAAAGTCATCCCCTTTCCCCGGCTTCATGTGTAACCCTAGAGATGGCGTTTTCCACTCCAAAGTAGTTTGCAAATTCATCTAGAGGTCCGAGGCGCACCCAAAAGCCACGTCGAATTCAAGATCGGACTTCATTCCATACACGAGCTACGGCTAGTAGTGGTCGCTGTGGTATTTTCCTTTATCAAATTAAACTTTTGCATTGAAGGTATTTATTGGTCAATAGTACAAGCCGTGCCGATGCATCCGCGGCGAACTCGCAGGTCGTTTCTGCACCGTTTTCCTTTTCGACAGGCTACCGCCACGTCTAGAAACTTCTCGTCCGTTCTCCGTTCCGTTGGATTCAAGTTGAATATTTGGGACGCTAGACGAGAAATGTCCGTGGTTGTTCGTCCGCCTTATAAAAACGAAGCCTCAATAACAAACCACAATGCAACCGCAAGGGTCTGTGCTCAGAATTCTGCTTTTGAGGCGCCTCAAAAACAGTGTGTGCTCAACAGGCTGTGTGTGGCAGGCGACGCGTTGGTGGCGTCTGAGCGCGGGTGGCCTCGTGCATCCTATCTTCGGGAGGGAACTCACAGAGCTGCTCTCAGAGCTGGATGCTCTCAGAGTTGGATGTTCTTAAAGTTGGGTGCGGACTTTTGAGGCGCCTCAAGAGTTGGATGCGGACATCTCTTGAGACGTTTCTCTCTTCTGATCTGTGCTGTGCTGTGCTGCCGAGCCGTGCCGTGCTGCTGAGCCGTGCTGCCGAGCCGTGCCGTGCTGTGCCTGTGCTGTGCTGTACCGTGCTGTACCGTGCCATGCCGTGCCGTGCCTGTACCGTGCTGTACCGTGCTGTACCGTGCCATGCTGTGCTGTGCCTGTACCGTGCTGTACCGTGCTGTACCGTGCCATGCTGTGCTGTGCCCGTGCCGTGCCGTGTGTGCTCGTGTGTGGCAGGTGCGCTGGTGGCAACGTGGGCAGTGCGCACGATGGATTGGGGGGAGATGTTGGGGGGAGATCCCAGTGCAGCAGACGGATTTTGTCACGTGCTGAAGGCTTGTGTCACCTACTGTGTGCTGTGCGGTGCCGTGCGGCGCTGTGTGGTTCTGTGTCGCAGGCGAGCTGGTGGCAGATCTGAATGCGCGCAGTGTACAGTCCATTGTAGGGGGAGATCCCGGTGTGAATGGCTTCTATCAATCTCTGAGCCCGGGCAGTGTACAGTCCATTGTTGGGGGAGATCCCTCTACTGACGGCGTGGCTTTGGTGCATTCCCGGTGTGAGTAGCTTCTATCAATCTCTAAGCACTTGTGACACCTGCCGTGCACTGCGTTGTGCGGTGCGGTGCTGTGCGACGCTGTGTGGTTCTTCTGTTTGCAGGCGAGCTGGTGGCAAATCTGAGCCCCGGCAGTGTGCGGTCCATTGTGGGGGGAGATCCCACTGCTGACGGCGTGGCACTCGTGCAAGTCTACAGGTGAGGGGCGCCGGGGGGGTCTGATTTTCAAATGAAGGTGAAGGTGTGGGCCAAGTTGAGTCCACCCTCGGGGGAGATCCCATCGCTGAGGGATCTGGTTCAAATGGTGCGGCACCGGTGCAAGTGTACAGAGGTACAGCCTTGAGCCTTGAGGACCAGGAGAAGTGCTTGGCTTGGCAGTGGACAGTCCATTGTCGGAAGTAACCCCTGTGGCGGATGGAGTCACTCCGTGTTGCTGCTGTTGCTGGCTGCAACCTGCAGTGGCTCGCCCGGAATTTCATGCGCCAGGAATTTCTGGCGCCCGGAATTTCTGGTGGCCGGAATCGCTGGTGTTGCTGGGTGCAACTTGCAACTCCACTTGAAGAGTGCAGGCTGGGGCGCCCGGAGGTTCTGGTGCAAGGCTGCAGAGGTCTAGTCTAGCCATCCATTTCTCTCCTCCCCTCGCCCTCTCCACCCCCCATGAAAGGTACAACGGGCAGACCAACGTGCACATTCGCCTGCGAGCGCACGCGCTCTCCTCTTCCCCCATTGCCCAGACTGTAAACAAAGCCCACGCAGGCATCAACGGCCCGCCTGTGTGGGCTGTCCTAGGGCAATGGACCCGCAGCAACAGCAACAACGCGTACAACTTGCAGAAATGGTACTATGAGGCTAATAAGAAGTACCCTCCTGGCTCTGCTAGATCCGTGCACTCTATTGTTCGGGAGATCGCCGGGGGTCCGGGGCGGTACTATGCTGTGGTGAGCTCTGTGACCCGGCCTGTTGGGGCGATCAGGGGGCAGTTCAGGCTCGCGCTGCCGTTTTCGCTGTACCCGTGGAATCCGTGCTAGTCTGGCTTTAAGTGTCATTCAGGGTGCTGCTGTTCCTGCTGTACCCGTGGAATCCATGCTAGAGTGGCTTTAAGTGGAGCTTCTATGGAGTTTAGAGTGCCGCCATTCCTGCTGTACACATGCAATGGCTGGGGTATTGCGATAGAGCCTTACAATGCGGAAGCGGGTCAATGCCAGGGGCGTATAGGGAGACTTAAAACAGGAACCACTTGAACAGTGAGTGCTGCTGGCCTGCAGTGTCCTGGATAGTGTGAGTGGGTAAATTCTAATGGTAGCCTCTGAATCAGTGGTCCTCTGGTGGCCTTACCCCCTTGAGGGAGGGTGAAACACGGTATTGGTCTCAGCAGCAGTGATATAGAAGGTGCGAGGAACCTGCTGGTGCTGGAGCTCACTTCCTGTCCGCTTAGGTGCCTAGATACCAGAATAGTGGATGTGAGGAGCATCCCACCTACCCTGCTGACACCCACCGTCTGTTCTTGTCTCCATCGAGTACCTCGGTATTTGTTTCCTGAACTGGCCGCCTCTTACACTAAATTCTCAACCTGCTTTACGGTTTGCTGATTAAGTCTACATGTGCTGAATTGTATATGTACACTACGGCCTTGTTCTCTTCACCTCCTATAGTACACACACATCCAGTCCAAACCCTGCTGCATGATTCTCCCAGATGCAACTGCAGCCACCACAGCAGTCACTCACTCACCGGATGCGTGCATTATTACTTACGTGGTACCTGTATCGGAAGGCAAATCAATCATGTACCGTACCAGAGTAACATTATTCATTTGTCAATGACGGGTTTTTCAAGACGGCAGCAGACCAATACTATCGTTCTATCTTGAACAAATGAGAAATTACATGTGGGGATGGCATGGAATGGTGACCAGACAAAATCATATACTGTACCAGTAAGCCATCTGCCCCTTGAACAGGTGCTTTATTCCAGCTGCAGTAATGTGCCCTCTACCCTTTACCCTCCTCCCCTCTCACCAGCAAACCCACTATGCTTAATTCCTGGATGGATGCCTTGTCCGTCTCCCCGCCGTGTCAGCAGCAGCACCAACTGACCAACCCTGCTTTATTCCAGCTGCGATGAAGCGTCCTGCACCCCTCCTCCCCTCCCCCCCCCCCCCCCCCCCTCCCGAACACACCAGCCTCACTTTGCGTTATTACCCAGCAGGATGTCTTGTCCCTCCCCCCGCCGTGGCAGCAGCACCAACAACAGACTACCTGGCTTATTACCAGCCAAACCCCTTTGCCCTCTCCCCTGTCCCCCTCTTGCCCATCATGTGGCGATCCAGGCTGATTCGGTACAGCAGTACAAGGCGCTTGTACACACTTTCCCCTCCTTGCTCTGGAGGCGCCTCAAAAGTGCTCGCACCACAGGAAAGCCTCCCTCATCCTCCTCTCGCCCCTCATGTGGCGCTCCAGGTTGACTTGGCATAGAAAGTACACACGCACGCATGCACGCACGCACGCATGCACGCACCGCACGCACGCACGCACGCACGCACGCACGCACGCACGCACGCACGCACGCACGCACGCACGCACGCACGCACGCACGCACGCACGCACGCACGCACGCACGCACGCACGCACGCACGCACGCACGCACGCACGCACGCACGCACGCACACACACACACACACACACACACACACACACACACACACACATTCTGTTGACAGGCAGTACACGGCGCTCGCTCGTACATACACTCTCCCCCCTGCTCTCTCTCACCACAGGAGATCGTTCCCCTGCGCCAGCCACAGCACCAAAAGACTCACAGTGTCCATTCCCTCACTATGGGAGATGTCCTCCCCTGGGCCACCAGCGGCAAAAGCAGCAGAAGACCCACACTAGGGGAAATGGTGCTCGTACACACTCCTGCCTCTGCCCCCACAAGGAGAGATGCTCTCCCCTAGGCCAGCACCAGCACCACCAGCACCAGCAGCACCAGCACCAGCACCACCAGTACCAGCAGCAGCACCAGCAAAAGAAGACTCACACTGCCCAATCCCACAGGGATGCCTCGGCCCTCTCCCCTTCGCCTCCCATCCTCCCCTTGCCCCTCATGTGGCGCTCCAGGTTGATTTGATACAGCAGCGCATGATCATCGTACACACTTCTGCCCCTGCTCTCACTAGGAGAGATGCTCTCTGTTAGGCCAGCACCAGAACCAGCAGTACCAGCAACAGCAGCAGCAGCAGCAGGAGCAGCAGACTCACACTCCCAGATGCTGTCCCGCGCCATTGCATACCCCCCAGACACTTCCACACATGCGCCAGCAGCAGCGCGAGAAGGAGCAGCAGGAGCAGCAGGAGCAGCAGCAGCAGCGGCGGCAGTAGCGGCAGCAACAGCGGTAGCAGCAGCATTAGCAAACTCACACGCCCAGGTGCTACCATGCGGCAGTGCATAGCCCTCGGGAACAGCTGGCAGTGTGAATGGGCTGCTCCGCCGCTGCATGCCGCGTGCATGCACACGCGCTCTGAAACTCGGCTTGTGATGCGACTCAAGCCCAGGTCCGCTGAAACTCGGCTCCACAGGTGCGCTGAAACTCGGCTCCACAGGTGCTCTAAAACTCGGCTCCACAGGCCCAACAGCTGTGAGACGAGCCACATGGCTTTGAGGCGCCTCAAAACTAGACGCCCTGAAACCTGGCTTCTGAGAAGTCTCAACGCCATGTGCGCGCACAGGTGCGCTGAAGCCCGGCTCCACAGACCCAACCGCTTTGAGGCGACACACAGGGTCGCTCAACGCTGCAAAAGCTGACTTATGAGACCTGGCGTCACACGAGGTGCATCCCCCATAAGGGGCGTACGTACCACTGATGGCCTGGCATGGATAACAATCCCTAGGATGACACTCCCCTTTGCTCGTCTGCTCCACCCGCACCTCCTTCATCATCCCCCCCTGCAGCCTTTTTCTCTTTTGCCTCTTTCTCTTCTGCCTCTTGGCTCAATCCCAAACGAAGGGACAGATCCACTGACCCACACGCCGGGCTTCTGCCTGATCCCGGGTTCCTCGCAAGAGATGCGTTTTGAGGCGCCTCAAAGCTCACCTCAAGGCCTCTGCCTGATCCCGGGTTCCTCGCAAGAGATGCGTTTTGAGGCGCCTCAAAGCTCACCTCAAGGCCTCTGCCTGATTCCGGGTTTCTCGCAACAGATGCGGTTGCAATGGAATGGGCGGGAGCACTGCTGCTTGGGTAGGGAGTAACGGCATGGTGGGGGTTGGCAGGCAAGAAGCTCAGAGAGTGTGTGATTTCAAAGGGAGAAGAAAGAGGTGGTGTGGTGGCAGCATCGGCTGCGGAGGGAATGGCGGCAAAAGTTTTTGAGGATGTGTGTGGTTCCGGGGCCTTTGGGAGGCTGTGAGGGTGTGTGTTGGGAGCAGAGCGAGGGGGAGGGAGGGCAGGGGAGTGTAACAGGGGTTGGTTGCCTCCATTGCAAGCCCTTTGAAAGGGTAAAAGACTCAGCTGTCGTTCCATCTCCTGTGCAGATGCTTGCACGTGCTGCTGCTGCTGCTGCTGCCGCCGCTGCTGCCGCAGCTGCCACTGCTGCAGCCGCTGCTGTAGATCCTGCTGCATCTGCTGCAGCTGCTCCTGCTCCTGCTGCTGCTGCCGCCACCACTGCTGCTGCTGCAGCAGCAGCTGGTGCTGTAGCTGCTGCTGTAGCTCCTGCCAGTCTCGCGAGCCAATCCAGTCGCGCCATGTGGACACGGTGCTTGCATTCCGCCCCCCACTATCCACACGCTCCCCGTTTCCCTCAAAGCGAAAGGGCCAACTTTCCGCCCGTCCCGCCGTTCCCCCACTCTCCCCGCTTCCCCCGCTTCGTTCCCCTGCCGCACCCCCCACGCCCTGGCTAGATTCCCCCAGCAGCCGCCCATCCCAACTGCAAGCAGCTGCTAGTGCCTCCGCCCGGGGAGTGAAACCTTCGGGTTTGCCACTGGCAGCACTCTGTGCGGCTGGGACCTCCGCGAGGGCAATGGTGGGACTAGTAGTACCAGCACTGCTGGTACCAACCCATGGGCCGTGCAAGGTCAGCCCTTCCACAAGAGATCTGCGCTGCAGGTCCCTTTCCCCGGAAAGCTGCGCCTCGGCCTCGCCGTGCTAGCTCCACGTACGCGGTGCTTGGGGAAGGAGACCGGTGCTGTGCGGTCCGGTACGGTTGCTATTTGATGTGATAGTGTTGCACGGCAACTGAGGTGGCTCGGGAATGAGAGGCGCGGCGACGCTCCTCGCCGTGACTCCGAGTCGGCTCATCTTATAGCTCTGCTCTACTTTATAGCTCTTGCACGGCGCCTCTGCCGCTGGCTGCTCTTCAGCCGCCTGCTCTGCTGCAGGCTGCTCTGCCGGCGCCGCCGGCTCTGACTCCCGCGTCCTCTTCCGTGGCCACGCCTCCTCCGCTGACAGCTGCTGCTGGGCGCCGGTAGTAACGGGCGGCGAGGCGAATCTACTAGAATCGGTCGGGGGTGCAGCGGGTGCGATCAACCAGCCGCGTATCATGGCGACTCGGAGCAGTGCCGCACTCACGGAGTTGTCGCCGTCCCCGCGTGGCTCACAGCGGCGGCTAGACGCGGGGGCGGCGGCGCCACGGATGAGCCGCGGCTCCAGCTCGTGCGATACATCGCACCTGGACGCGCCGATGCGGCCACCTCCCGCCGCGGCGTGTTCGTTTCTGCGGGGAAGGGATGCGGCCGCCCCAACGGTTCCACTTAAGGCGTCGATGTGGCAGCGGCCGTGCGACGGAACATAAGGGGGATAGAAAAATAGCTTGTTCGAGATGAGAAAACGGAGATAATCGCCGTCAGGGGGCGTCATGACGATGATCAGTACTGATCAGCAACGTTGCTGAAAAGAGGCAAATGCTGCGGTTGCTGAGGAGAGGGGAAACGGGACAGCAGCTTTGTGAGAGCCTCTCTGAGAGTAGGCTTGAACGGAGAGATAACGAAGAGCCTGACGACACATGAGAGGGATGAGCGCTAGGCGACTCGCGAAGCTA